TAGCCCTGAAGGCTTCACAGACCATCTGCTCAGTGGACAGAAGACAGGCCCTGAGAGAGGGGAGGGGCGTGCCGGAAGTCTCCAGAGCACCATTTTCCTGAGGCCAGGCACAGCTGTCCCCCACACCTGAAGACAGGGTGAGCTCATCTCTGGGGGCTCTGCCCAATGCCAAGCACATGGCCCAACCCATGGGGCCTCCAGGGCCTCAGCAGCCACGAGACCCCAACAGATGCTCTTGGCAGCCTGGGTGGCAGACAGGGCAGGGCGTGCTGGCCCATTTCCCCAGAAATGAAGGACCACGTCTTAAGACATTGAGTTACCTGCCCCCAGAGTGGAAGATAGAACCTGCAAGGGCACCCAGGGCACCTAGCCCTGGCTAGGGTTCTTGCCACAGCTTGGGCAGCCTCCCTCCCTCCCTCAAGGAGAAGCCCTGCAGAGCTTCCAGCACTAGGGACCGGGAACCCCCAGGCCCAGTGGGGTGAGGGCTCATCCTGGATGGTGAGGTGCAGCTGAGTCCCCAGGGACCATCAAAGCCCAACTGCAGTGCTGACCCTGGGTGCCCAGGACAGCAGAGGCTGGGTTGTCCAGTGGCACCCACTCAGTATGTGGGCACTTGAATGTTTATGGAGTGACTGCGTTAACGTGAGCAGAATCTAGGGCAGAACTCTGGCCTGGGGCACTTCCGGAAGGTTCCCTGTGGCTGTCTTCAGAGTGTAGAAGGACCTTTGACCCAGCTGCCTTTCCGTGTGGGACCTGTACAGTTCCAGTAGGAAAAGATTGGTGTCTGTCCGGCAGTGCTGACTCTGTAGCCTCTGCTCTGGCTTTCAGGACGCAGCAGTGAGCAAGGAAGGACTCAACCCACCTGGCCACCCTTCATGGCCCTCCTCCTCACTCTACTGTCTCTTTTTCCATAGTACTCATCTTTTTTTGCTCACCGTGTTGGAATTTTCTGGTTTTGTTTCTGTCTGACAACCTCCCCAAGAATGTTGCCCTGATAGGCAGGGCTATTTGTCTCATGGGGCGTCCAAGTGCCTGGGAGAGCAATTGGCTCTGGGCAGGGACTCAGCTGGTGTTTCTGCAACTGGCAAAAACAGGTGCTCTGGTGAGAGACAAGCAAGAAATGAGCAGGAACACAGGCTGCAGGTGAGATCGGCACAGCGATGGTGCGAGCCAAGTGACACGACAGGGCCACGCTGACATCTGTGGGCACGTGTTCCGGGCAAAGGGGCAGCTTCAGGTCACTGAGTTCAAGCTTGTGGCTCAAGCAGAGTGAAGCAGGCTCCAGGGGAGAAGGGGCCTGGCCGGGGGATGGATCCCACTCCGGGCCTTCTTGCGGGGGTGGGGGGGCAGGGGGATCCCAGCTGTTGCTTTCTGCCCCTCCCCCCACCCTGAAGTAATGACTCAGGGAGCAAGCTGACTCACAGGGACACAACCCCCACGCCAGCCTGGCTCCCTGTGTGTTTCAGTGTGTGTTGGAAAATGGGCGACCTGGAGTCGGACTTCAACCTGAAAGTTGTCTTAGTCAGTTTCAAGCAGTGTCTCAACGAGAAGGAGGAGGTGCTGCTGGATCACTACCTCGCTGGCTGGAGGGGGCTGGTCAGGTACATTCGGGGGCACTGCCCTGTGGGCCCCCACACAAAGGTGGGGCCTTTCTGGCCACACTTCCCGCATGCTATGCTATGTACTGTGCACACCAGGCTCCTGCCTGCCCGGAACTGGTCAGCCGTTCTCGTTCGCCACCTTGGCTGGCAGCACCGAACCTTACCACGCCTGCTGGCACGTGGACATGTACCCCAGGAGGTGGGGGGAAGTCTCCCCTGCACCCTGGGCTGAGCTCCTGCTTCCCCTCGAGCAGGTTCCTGAACAGCCTGGGTGCCATCTTCTCCTTCATCTCTAAGGATGTCACCACAAAGCTACAGATCATGGAGCGTCTGTGCAGTGGCCCACAGCAGGAGCACTACAGCAGCCTGCAGTCCATGATGGCCTACGAGGTGGGCAACCGGCTGGTGGACCTCGAGCGTCGTTCCCAGCACCCCGACTCAGGCTGCCGGACGGTGCTCCGGCTACACCGCGCCCTGCGCTGGCTACAGCTCTTCCTGGAAGGTCTGCGCACCAGCCCCGAGGATGCACGTACTGCCGTGCTCTGCACCGACTCCTACAACGCCTCTCTGGCTGCCTACCACCCCTGGATCATCCGCCGGGCCGTCACCGTGGCCTTCTGTACGTTGCCCACACGCAAGGTCTTCCTGGAGGCCATGAACGTGGGGTCCCCAGAGCAGGCCGTGGAAATGCTGGGCGAGGCCCTGCCCTTCATTGAGCGTGTCTACGATGTCTCCCAGAAACTCTACACTGAGCATTCCCTGCTGAACCTGCCCTGAGGGCCAGCGGGTGAGGTGGGGCATGCTTCTCCTTTCCAGAGCTGGGCTGGGGCAGCCAGAACCCATCGGGCCCCCCATGGAGATTTGTGGGTGCCCCAGGAATGGGAAATACGCTTTCCCCTGCCAGCTGAGCTACGGGCCCAGCATAGCCCACTCGGGCTGAGCTTCTGGGCTGCAGCATGGGGGCTGTGACAGAGAAGGCAAGCCCTGGCCATCGCTCCTCCTTGTTGTCTTGCTCTGCCCAAGGGCACCTTGGCTTCACCCTCAACCAGGTTATACGTGTGCAACCAGGCCTTGCCCGGATGGGTAAAGTGCCGAAGGCGGGGAGGGTAAGGGCAGTATCCGTGTTCATGCGAAACCCTGAAAAGCTGCCTCCTGCCTGTGAGCCAAGTGTGTGAAATGGGGCGAAGTCACAGGTCCCCACAGTGCAGAGACTTCATCCTGCTTGCCAGCAAACTCACCCAGCAGGTGCTTCTCTGTCCCTGGCCCATCTCGGTGTCAGGCCCTGGGTGCGGTGCCTAGGTCCAGGTGCCCGGGCCCCTCCACACGGGGTTGGCTGTCCCCAGGACAGGGACGGAACCCCTGGGCAGCAGTGGACAGGCTCTCTCCCTGTCCCTCACCTCCTTGTTAGCCAGGGTCCCACATGTCCTCAGCAGCAACATGCAGGAGCCAAAGCCCTGAGCGGAGGCCTGCCCTGCCTCTAGTTCTGCACACTTATCAGCTGCCCCCTGCAGCCACCCTGTCATTCAGGTGCTCCCCCAGGCAGCTGCCTGTGAGTCTGCACAGCACAACTCCAAAGCTCTAGAGAGCCCATGACTCTGCTGGTCCAGTTCTGGCCTCTCCCTCCCCATCATCCAACAAGATGCTGCATTCCATCCTCCCCGTCCCTACAGAGCTCAGGAGACCCGGGATGATATGGCACACGGAGAGAGCCTGGACCCTTTTGCCCAGCTGACAGGCCAGCCGTCACCAGACACTTGGGGACCTAGCGTCTCCTACTGGCTCTTCACTGTGAGCTCAGGGCCCTCAATGCCGAGGGGACCATATCCACCATACGGAGATGTGCGTAAGTGTGAACTTGCAGAGACCCTGGGAAAACGTAATACGGGTGATGGATTTTCAGACATCAATAAATTCCCCTTCTGGAGCAGGTGGTACGCTCCAGGATGGGGGCTATTTGCTGCGTCAAGCACTAGCTTACTGAAGGGGAGGCGTGACCCCGTGGGGGCTTAGGCCCCACTGCCAGGCTCACAGGGCAGCGGCAACCATGGGGACACGTGGCATGTCTCGGCCAGCAGGGGGCAGGGACATGCTGCCCGTCCATCCTTGCGCAGGCTTTAGCTTGCCCCCCACCCCGAGCCCCCGCTGAGGTCCACATTATCCCCATTTTGTAGTTGAGAAAACAATCACACAAGGGCATGGGTTGGAAGGGCAGGTCTGAGGCCAACTACACAGCTTGTAAGGAGAATGTGGAAGGGGAGCTGCCTTGTGCCACACGGTGGTTGGGACGGAAAGAGAACATGTATCAGACCCGAACAGCGGTGTCCCGTGCCACCTCCGCCACCTCCAGGTCTGCTGCTTCACCCTGTCCAGCGCTACCCTAGACCCAGTAGGGACCGCAGCACCGTGTGGTGCCAGAGCCTGCGAGGACAGCCTGGGGTCCACGAGGACCAGAGAGCCAGTGCTGCACGTATGTGCACACATGCGCATGAAAATGTTCAGGTGCCACGCACTGCATACGTGTCACGCGTTTGTGTGTGTGGTGTGTGCAGGTACAGTGCATCAAGTGTGTGTTCTGCACATGTGTGCACGTCCCGAGAGCACCATGCAGCGGGGGCCCTCCCCACAGGCAGCAAAGACCAGATCCCAGACCACCTCCTATAAACATCTGCCAGGCCCCAGCCAGGGCCGGGTCCACCTGGAGCTCTCCCACTCCACTCCAGGGGTGTCTGCAGCCTCCCCCAGTTCTTCTGGGTGCCTAATGGGCACATCCACCCCTGAGCCTGGTGTCAGGTCCCCAGGCGCCCAGAGGCTAAGTAGGAATGCTGGCAATCCACTGAGGCTCCCCTGCACACACCTGGTGCTGACCCAGCTTCAGAGGCCCATTTGGTTATGGCCTTTCCTCCCTCATTTGCATGCACTGTCCTGCAGGCCCAGCTGTGACCTTTGTCCCCAGAGGGAGGCACCTGCTGTGTCAGGAGCCTAGGCTCGGTGTGGGCACAGCCAGGCTCAGGGGCCCCAAAGTTTCCAGGCCTCAGACACTTAGCAGGGCAACAGCCCAGACCTTCCAGTTGCACTGCTCGCACCTTGGGGCCCTCCCCACCCCAGCCACAGGGTGGAGACCAAGCTGGCGGGCTGGTCTGTCCCCTGAGGCTGCAGATGGAGTTCCCCACCCCTGGCTGCTAACAGCCCTCTCCAGGGCTGGAGACCGGTGTTTCTGTACCTACTCCTCGGGGCACTGGCACCTCCTACAGGCAGCTGGAGACCCCAGGACCCTCTCCCAGAGACATCCTGAGTGTTCTCCCTCCCTTCCAGGAATGGGGTGGGTGCAGAGCAGTTTGGGCACAGGCAGGTAACAAGATCATGGTCCGTGGTTGGTCAGCCAGAGAGCCTGGTTGTGACATCAGGATCAAAGAGTCCAGAGAGTTGCAAACCTACTGGGCGGGGAATCAAGGGTGTCTCCAGGGGCCCCCCGGGCTCAGCAGGTGCAGACAGGCGAGGACTTTGCTAAGCAAATTCCCTGCACACACCCTACCCCACTTCATCATATCTGGGGCCCCCACCCTGTGCTCTCATTCGCCATCCCTGCCATGCTCGGCCTCGCTCTCCTGGGCCTCACGGCTCTCTTGGACCATGGGGAGGGCGCAATGTCGTGCTTGTCACAGCAGCTCAGGATGCAGGGGGACTATGTGCTGGGTGGGCTCTTCCCTCTGGGCTCTGCCGAGGGTACAGGTCTTGGCGACAGGCTGCAGCCCAATACTACCGTGTGCACCAGGTAGGAATGCAGGGGGTGGGGAGCGAGGCTGGGAGTGGCTCGGGTTGGGGGTGCGCCTGAGTGGGGATGAGGTGTCGGCCACCCGCAGCCCTGTGTGGCCCCAGGTTCTCGTCTCCGGGCCTGCTCTGGGCACTGGCCGTGAAGATGGCGGTGGAGGAGATCAACAACGGGTCTGCCCTGCTGCCCGGGCTGCACCTGGGCTATGACCTCTTTGACACGTGTTCAGAGCCCATGGTGGCCATGAAGCCCAGCCTCATGTTCATGGCCAAAGCAGGCAGCTGCAGCATTGCCGCCTACTGCAATTACACACAGTACCAGCCCCGCGTGCTGGCCGTCATCGGGCCCCACTCGTCCGAGCTCGCCCTTGTCACCGGCAAGTTCTTCAGCTTCTTCCTTGTGCCTCAGGTGCGCCCCCCCCACCTCTCCTGGTGCCACCCACCCCCACTGGCCCTGCCCACCGGGGCCCCCACATCAGGAGGTGCGTCCCGGCCACTGCAGGTCAGCTACGGCGCCAGCACCGACCGGCTGAGCAACCGGGAGATCTTCCCGTCCTTCTTCCGCACGGTGCCCAGCGACCGAGTGCAGGTGGCGGCCATGGTGGAGCTGCTGCAGGAGCTCGGCTGGAACTGGGTGGCGGCGGTGGGTAGTGACGACGAGTATGGCCGGCAGGGCCTGAGCCTCTTCTCCGGCCTGGCCAACGCCAGGGGCATCTGCATCGCGCATGAGGGCCTGGTGCCACTGCCGCCAGGCAGCCTGCGGCTGGGCGCCCTACAGGGCCTGCTGCGCCAGGTGAACCAGAGCAGCGTGCAGGTGGTGGTGCTGTTCTCCTCCGCCCACGGGGCCCGCGCCCTCTTCAGCTACAGCATCCGCTGCAAGCTCTCACCCAAGGTGTGGGTGGCCAGTGAGGCCTGGCTGACCTCAGACCTGGTCATGACGCTGCCCGGCATGCCTGGGGTGGGCACCGTGCTGGGCTTCCTGCAGCAGGGCGCCCCGATGCCGGAGTTCCCGTCCTACGTGCGGACCCGCCTGGCCCTGGCCGCTGACCCTGCCTTCTGCGCCTCGCTGGACGCTGAACAGCCAGGCCTGGAGGAGCACGTGGTGGGGCCACGCTGCCCCCAATGTGACCACGTCACGCTAGAGAACCTATCTGCGGGGCTGCTGCACCACCAGACCTTCGCTGCCTACGCGGCTGTGTATGGCGTGGCCCAGGCCCTTCACAACACACTGCGCTGCAATGCCTCGGGCTGCCCCAGGCGGGAGCCTGTGCGGCCCTGGCAGGTAAGGCCGAGGAGCCCCCACCCTCCCGAGAGCGGGGAATTTCAGTGGGGAATCTGGGCTGGCGGCAGCTCCGGCCGGCCTGGCCCGGCCCCACCCACCTGCTCCAACGCACCCGTCAGCTCCTAGAGAACATGTACAACGTGAGCTTCCGTGCTCGCGGCCTGGCACTGCAGTTCGACGCCAGCGGGAACGTGAATGTGGATTACGACCTGAAACTGTGGGTGTGGCAGGACCCGACGCCCGAGCTGCGCACCGTAGGCACCTTCAAGGGCCGCCTGGAGCTCTGGCGCTCTCAGATGTGCTGGCACACGCCGGGGAAGCAGGTGAGCACTGGGTGGCCGGTCCCCAGCTGCACAGCAGCTTTCCCCTCAGCCGGGAGAGAGCTCTGACCCCGCCTGGGGCGCAGTGGGGGACAGTCCACAGGTCCGGGCGGGTGCACCAAGCTTAGCACAGCCCGAGCCCCGAGGCCCTATGCCAGCAGCCCGTGTCCCAGTGCTCCCGGCAGTGCAAGGAGGGCCAGGTGCGCCGCGTGAAGGGCTTCCACTCTTGCTGTTATGACTGCGTGGACTGCAAGGCGGGCAGTTATCAGCGCAACCCAGGTGAGCACCTCCCTGAGGCTGAGCAGGGGTGGGGACCCACACGGTCTCACGTACTGGCTCCAAGTCCAACTCTGAGGCCACGGCAGGTGGGAGTGTGGTGGCAGAGCCCGTTCCCCCCCCCCAGTGCCCCCTCTCTCCTCCCACACCACAGATGACCTCCTCTGCACCCAGTGTGACCAGGACCAGTGGTCCCCAGACCGGAGCACACGCTGCTTCCCCCGCAAGCCCATGTTCCTGGCATGGGGGGAGCCAGCTGTGCTGCTACTGCTCGCGCTGCTGGCTCTGGCGCTGGGCCTGGCGCTGGCGGCCCTGGGGCTCTTCCTCTGGCACTCGGACAGCCCTCTGGTTCAGGCCTCAGGTGGGCCACGGGCCTGCTTTGGCCTGGCCTGCCTGGGCCTGGTCTGCCTCAGTGTCCTCCTGTTCCCTGGCCAGCCAGGCCCTGCCAGCTGCCTGGCCCAGCAGCCACTGTTCCACCTCCCACTCACTGGCTGCCTGAGCACGCTTTTCCTGCAAGCGGCCGAGATATTTGTGGGGTCGGAGCTGCCACCAAGCTGGGCTGAGAAGATGCGTGGCCGCCTGCGGGGGCCCTGGGCCTGGCTGGTGGTGCTGCTTGCTATGCTGGCAGAAGCCGCATGGTGTGCCTGGTACCTGGTAGCCTTCCCGCCAGAGGTGGTGACGGACTGGCAGGTACTGCCCACAGAGGCGCTGGTGCACTGCCACGTGCACTCGTGGATCAGCTTCGGCCTGGTGCATGCCACTAACGCCATGCTGGCCTTCCTCTGCTTCCTGGGCACTTTCCTGGTGCAGAGCCGGCCAGGCCGCTACAATGGTGCCCGCGGCCTCACCTTTGCCATGCTGGCCTACTTCATCACCTGGATCTCCTTTGTGCCCCTCTTTGCCAATGTGCACGTGGCCTACCAGCCTGCCGTGCAGATGGGCGCCATCCTCCTCTGTGCCCTGGGTATCCTAGCCACCTTCCACCTGCCCAAGTGCTACCTGCTGCTGCAGCGGCCGGAGCTCAACACCCCTGAGTTCTTCCTGGAAGACAATGCCAGGGCACAGGGCAGCAGTTGGGGGCAGGGGAGGGGAGAATCGGGGCAAAAACAAGTGACGCCTGATCCAGTGACCTCACCGCAGTGAGCCTACTAGACTTAGTTGAGATGCCCCCAAACTGAGTTCTTATGAAGCAACCCAGACAGTACCTCAACTGCTGAGACCACCCCCAGTTCTAGATCTTGACAGCAGGCTGACCGCTGACCTGGATGCCACAATGATCCTTGGGCCTGCAGCACTCAGGAAGGTCCTCAGCACCCACCTGGGGCCCCAGAGAGACTCTGCCCCTGTCCCAGCCAAGCCCTGGCCAGGGCCTACCCAGGTGATCCAGCCCTACTGTTCCAGAATAAAGCCAACAAAAGTTTCCTCGGGGCTCCTTAGCTCAGGCCAAGAGCTCAGGAAGGCCCCTAGCCAGACCACTTGAAGGCCAAGCTGGGCATCACTTGCCTGGCCAGGCCCAGCCTGGAGACCCCAGCCAGCACCCCCTCCAAGCATCACAGGGGTGGAAGGTTGGTGGGTGGTGGTCAGCTGTGCTGACTCCTCCGCAGAGGCACGTGACAGACCGTGGTTCCCAGAGTGGTGCAGGAATAGTGAGCAGGGCAGAAGCCCACTTAGTGGGGGAGGGAGACACCCAAACTCTTCCCCTCCCTGGCCCAACCCAAGCGGGTAAAATGGGGTCAGCCGCCACCAGCACCGTGGACAGAGCCCAGGCAGGGTGGTGGTGGGACTCAGCACCAAGGCCAGCACCCACGACGAAGACCCCTGGAGCCGGGAGGCAGCACCACGGACAGAAGACCAGCCACCGGGACGCTGCTGGCAGCCAGCACCGGGGACAGAGCCTTGTGGCTGACCGGGAACCCAGAGCGCAGCACCTGGCCAGTCCTGGGTCAGCTCTTAGCCAGGCCCTGATGAGGCTGGACAAGTCTCCTAAGGTACCCCGGCAGGAGAGAAGAGACAGTCCACACGTCAGTCCCATAAAATTAAATGCTTTTTAGTCTTTAAAATAGCATTTACACAGAAGCAGCTCTATTAACTATCTGGACGGACACTCTGACTTGATACAGTATCTACAGCGCAGATGCGTGCAGGCCAGAAACGCCAGGAAGGAAGCGGCGTGAGTGGGTGGGCAGTCACCTGAGGACAGCAAGGAAGGGTGGGCTGCCTACCCCCTCTCCCCCAGACCCTGCCCCTGCAGCAGCTGCGTGCATCTGTGCCCTCTGCCCCTCAGGGTCACATCCCCACCACTGCTAGCTCAAACACATGCCTCTCCTGTCTCTCCCTCACCAACCCTCCCACTTTCAGACACAACCTGTGTCCCTGCATTTAGTCTGAGTCCCGGGGGCAGGGGGGCAGCTGACCTGGCCACCACCTTCCCCAGGGCACACAGGCCAGACAATAAATAAATAAATTAGATCCCTATCCTGGGCATCCACAGAAGAGCCTGGGGGCTCTGATTCCACCTTTGAGGGGTCCGACCCAGCCCAGGAGAGAGTGGTGGGGCCTGTGTCCTGGGCAAACAGGGGGCCCAGGGCCAGCAGCTACTTCTCAGCTTAGTCTGAAGCCCTGTGCATGGCTCTGTGGGCAAGTGGGAGTCCCAGAGGCACTCCAAGGGCACCGGGAGGTGGAGGACCCTCACCAGGGTCTGCATGGACACAAGCCGCTCTGAACAGCAATGTGCAGGCCACCGAGTCCAGATCGTGGTGGTCTGGGCTGCCCTCCGCCCATCCCCCCAGCCTGCTCCCACTCTCTGTCCAGGCCTGGGCCCCAAGACATGGCCCCTTGTGTGCCCCAGAGCACAGGCTGGCTTGAGGCAGGACAGCCACCAATAAGGCAAGCCCACACAAGCTCCAGGGGGGCAGTGCCCGTGCAGGAACGGCCAGGACCACCAGCTCCCCCACCATGGGGCCCAGCTGAAGGCACTCTCTCCTCGGTCACATGATGTCAACAAAAAATTCACAGGGGTTTCCCATGGCCTTCTGGAAGGACTGGCGGCTGCCCGTCAGCTCTGGGGGAACAGCAGCCAGCTCCCGGACGGGCGGCCCCCCAGGCGGCCCCCCCACCGCCGAGTATGCCTTTGTCAGGGGGTACAGTGGGGGGAGGCCCGGGGCGGCAGCCGAGGCCTGACTGTGTGGGCTGCTGCCCCGGCTGAGCTGACTAGCCGGACGCTCCCTCCAGCCGCTGCCAGCGACCCCACTCGGTGCTGCATGGTCCGACTCGCTGCCACTGCCTCCGGCTCCAGCCGCCCGGCGCTCCTTCTCGCGGCCCAGTGCCCGCCGGCTGCTGCCGCCGGCGCTCCGGGTGGACCCACTGCTTTTGCTTCCTGGAGTCAAGGAGTGGAGGGAGGAACGAGATGGCGTGAGGCCGTGCCACTCCCAGGACAACCGGGCGTTGCCAGGGCAACCAGGGGCAGAGCCTGGTGGTCTCAAGCAGGGTGGGTGGGAGGGGGGCAGCCATGCAGACAGGAGGGCAGGGCTGACCCCACTCAGAGAAGCCAGAGCAGCTGCAGCAGCACGGGGCAGGGGGTGGGTGGGGGGCAGTGGGGGGGGGGGGGGGCGCAGGGCGAGCGGCGGCAGGCAGGGACACTCCGGGGCCAGCACAGTGCCTCCTCTCACCCCAATGCCTGACCTTGCAGCTGAGGACCTGAGGCACCAGTGAGGCCCTGTGTGCCTGGTGCTCCCATCGGCCATCCTGGGCCCCCCCCCCCCGACACACAAAGACCCGCCTTCCGTCCAGCCCCAAGGCCCTGGCCAGCTACTCAGCTCAGCCCCCGTCCTGGGCTCCCAGGAAGAGCGGGGAGCCTGAGAAGGCCAGCTGGCTGGGAACATGCCGAGAGGGACGCCGGGCAGGACCCTGGCTTACCGGCCCGGAGGGTCCACTCCGCTAGTCCTTCAGTCTAAGGCTTGCTCAGCACAAAGCAAGGGATAGCATGAGTCACACAGCAGGCCCAGCCCGGTCACCCTTCCCGCCCACAGGGGCATGCCGCCACCAGCTGGGCCTGTCCAGGGTCCACAGGCACCCAACCCAGCTTCCCCTCGGGCACCACTGCCCTCTGACTTGCTCTCCTCTCTCTCCCACCCCTTTCTGGGTCTACTGGGCTGGCTGCCTGACCTCTCTCTCCTGGTCTCAGCGACACAGACAGCCTCAGGCCACTCCTCCAACAAGCCCCTCCTCAGCTCTCCACACATCCCAGAGTGGATGCGCAGTTGTCTGTGAAAGTGTCCCCTCTGGCTCCCTGCTGGGCTGCAGGTGCCGCGGCGAGGGTGGGGGAGGTCTGTCGTCCACTGTGTCCCAGGGCCCCTCCACCGCCCTTTTCCGCGTCATCTCCCGGCCTTTTGCTTCTGCCACACCTGGACCACCAGCCCCTCCCGCACACACACAACCACCGAAGTCTGCAAGGTTCGCCCCGTCCCCCTCAGCCACTCACCCCTTCCAGAAGGAGCACGCCCAGGGCCTCAACACAGAGCAGGCAGGAGCACACAGGGCGGGGGGGGGGGGGGGGGGGGGTTGGGCACACAGGGCAGAGCCAGGCGGCGGGGACAGCAGGGAGCCAGGCGCCAGGCAGGCTCTCACCTTCACTCTGCTGACTCCCAGCACTGCCGCTGCCGTAGCTGAAGCCAGGGTCCTGGTATGCAGGTGGGAAGCAGGGCGGGGGGCCCGGGTACTGGTAGGGGTAGCCCTGACCCAGGGGCCAGGGGGCGGCCGGATGGGGCAGCGGGGCCAGCGTGTCCTGATCCGAGGCCCCACTGGAACCACTGTTGAGGTTCAGGGCTGCGAGATCTGGCAGGAAGGGAGGATGGCTGAGGGCGGGGTGGGCAGGCCCTCTGGGGACCCCCTGCCCCGCAGCCCCTCACTCACTGCTGCACAGGTCCCCGAAGACGTAGTAGCACTGCTCCGAGAAGGTGATCTTGTTCACCGTGTGCCGCAGGAAGCCACGCTTCAGCATGCTGCTGGCGTACTTGCGGGCCTCGCGCCGTTCCTTGAAGCCCTCCACGTGCGTGTACAGCCAGTCCACCACGTCCGCCCCTGGCCCGCGGCACGTGTCAGGGCACGGAGCCTGGGGGCGCTGACCCCGCCCACCCGGAGCCAGCCCAGCGGGGACCCCTCACCGATGACGGCATTGGCGATGGTGATCTTGAGCCACATGCGGTCTCGGATCTCCAGGCCCGAGTCCGGCAGCTTCATGACACGCACCACGGCACCCATGTCACTCTTCACCGTCAGCGGCGCCTCCTCCAGCTCTGCAAGGCAGAGCCCCCCCTTCAGCCCCGAGCAGCTGAGGGCAGGGGGGAGGGCTTGGGGTGGACCCCGGGCCCTGCTGCTGCACCCGTCTCAGAGACCGGGCCCCGCGTAGGGTCTCTGGTCCCAGAGCCCAGATGGCAAGGCTGTCTCGTGACTGTGGGGCCCACGCCCACCACAGGATGGGCCCTCCCAGGGGCGGGGAGCAGGCGTGGGCTGGGGAGATTGAATCTCTTGTCTCCTGCCCCTGCAGATGCTTCATCGGGATCTTGGGCCCAAACCAAGGTGGAGCCACCCCCGCCCTGCAGGTCAGATCCCCAAGAAGAGAGATCAGGCCTTTCCCCACCTCCACCCCCCTCCCGCCACTCCTCCGCTAGCTCAGGGCTGTTAGTCGTGTTAGCTGCAAGAAAGCAGGCAGGGGTCACACACGTGGGGGACAGGCCACTCCCCCGGTCCCCGCCGAGGCAGAGCCCTGGGCAGGGACCACAGGGCTGTCCTGGTCCTCTGGGCACCTTTCCACCCACCACACAGGCAGCAAACCGGAAGGAGGGTGCGCACGAGGGCACACACGGGTCAGACACACGTGTCGGCAGTGTCCATCCGTACGTGTGCCCTGCGCCTGACTGTGCTGGGTGGGCACTTAGGACAGGTCCCCCACCCGGGTGCCTCAGGTCCCTGCTCTCCTGAGCTGCCACTTACGCGGAGCGCCAGGCACAGAGCTGGTTAGTGAGGAGGAGCTGGTGCGCGTGACGGCGCTGGAGCAGGGGCTCGTACCGTAGCGGGGCAGGGCTCCGGTCAGCGCCGCCGTGTGGGACAGCCAGGCGGCAGGGTCGATGGGCCGAACCGGGTCAGCTGGGTGGCCACCGTGTGGTAACGCGTGTGGTAACGGACAGATGGACAAAAGGACGGGCGGATGGTAGGACACACAATGGAGCACGGGGGCACAGAGGAAAGGACCTTCAGGCTGGGCGAGCGCCCTCATCCCCCTCCCCTGTCAGCCCTGAGGGGTCACTTACCCCTCGGGATGGTGAAGTAGCTCCGGGGGGTTGGGTCCCAGCACTTGGCCACCGTGAGGCTGATGGGCCTGTGGGGTGGGGCAGGTCACACGGGGAACGCCCCGTGCGGGACCCCCAGCACGCCACCTGCCCACCCCGCGCCTCACCCCGTCTGGGACACGATCTCCCGCAGCACCCGCACAGCGTCATCGTTGCTCATGCTCTCGAAATTGATGTCATTCACCTGGGGGGCAGCGAGGGGTTCAGCGCGGTGGGCTGGGGGTGCCAGCCTCTCGGCCCCCCAGCAGCTCCCGCAGCCCCGCACCTGCAACAGCATGTCCCCGGGCTCAATGCGGCCGTCGGCAGCCACGGCCCCGCCCTTCATGATGGAGCCGATATAGATGCCGCCGTCTCCCCGGTCGTTGCTCTGCCCCACGATACTGATGCCCAGGAAGTGGTGCCTCTCTGCAGGGGCGAGGGGTGAGCAAGTGTCTGCTGAGGGGGCCCGGCCCAGCCAGGCGCCCCGCACCCCACTGGGGAGGCCCCACGGAGCCCTCACCCATGTTGAGCGTGACGGTGATGATGTTCAGGGACATAGTAGAGTCCGTGATGCTGCTAAAGGAAGAGGCCTGTGGAGGGGCACGAGTGAGGGGGTGCAGGTGGGGGCTTCCGAAGGGCAGACCCCACCCAGCGCCTGGCTGCCACCTACACGGTCCGTCTGCCGCAGGCGCTGCTTCCGCCGCCGGCGCTTGTGCTTCCGGATGAGCCGGGAGGAGGTGCTCTGCTCCGTGGAGCTGCTCAGTCTGGGGGGGGCATGAAGGTCAGGGGCCAGGCCACAGGCTGCAGGCCTGAGGCAGGTGGGGAGAACAGGGCGCCCCCCCAACACACACACACGCAGGGAGTGGAGGTGATGGGCGTTGTCCCCCCCGCCCCCCGGCCCCGACCAGGCCGACTGTGGGAGACACGGGGCTGAGGTACAGTTTGCTCAGGAGAAGGCTCAGCTTCTGGTTGTGCACACATGACATGTACACACCCCACACCTGCACGGAGTACTTCTCTCAGGACAGACGGAGACACAGACACTGAGTCAGCACATTCGTGCATGTACACCTGTAACACACCCACTCGACACACACACCCATTCACGTACACATGCCCGTGCAATCAAGCACACGTCCAGGGTCACAC